AGTATATTCCGCGCCCTCTGAGCCTCGCGCTTACTAGGCGTTCTGACCGACCGTCCTCCTCATGCTCCCTGATCTGTGTTGGGCTTGTCTGAGTTTGGGGAGTAGGAAGTGGACAGAAGGAAAAAGGAACAGCACTGAAATGCACTGCCGAGAGGCGGCTTGGGAATGCCGGCGCTCCTCCACGACAGCCTGTGCCCTTTCCTCCCCCTCAAGCCTCCCAGGTGGAAATCTCAGAGCCCTTGGGAGCTCCTGTCTGGAAGGGACCCCCTCGTGAGCCCCTTCTAAGCTGATGACTGTGCCATAAAGGGAGGTAGTACTGTGTGTAACCACCCCCTCACTCCACCAACTGGGTGACTTGGGGAAACCGCTGCCTCACCTGCAAAATGGGATTCCTGGTGGTTGGGAGGATGGAAGCGAGTTAACAGACACATGTACACTCCGAGAGGCCAGAGGGCCAGGCTTGCATGAAGTGTTTGGCAAATGGAGCCGTGTGCTGCGGTCCAGCGATTGTGTATCTGCCAGGAGTGACACGGTGACTTGCATCCAACAACACCCTGCTTAACCAGGCACCAGGAAATACTGGCTAAGATGGTTTCTTTTCCCTGTTGCTGCATCATTGCTGGTCCCAAGGCCCCAACTATTTGATGTCACCAAGAAGATTTTGTTCTTTCCAAGGCCACTGCCGTGTGTTTTATTTGTTATTAATGGGCATGTTTTTATTGCTCTGTTTTACCTGCCACACATTGTCCACTCAGATTAAAATAATAACACCTTCAGTTAATAATACCTTGCACTTGGGAAGTTGCTTTCATCCCAATAGCTCAAAGCCCTCTTGCAAACATGACCTCATTCATTCTCCATGGCTCCCAGACGCTCATCTTCAACTAGATTCTCAGAAGACTGAGTATTGATAAAGTACTTCCACCTTGCAGCACCACAGATCACAGGAGGAGCTCTCTAGCTCTCCTTCCCACTGCCTAGAGCCATCTTTTGCCTTCAGAAGATGAGCAGAACCCCGGTCCCTCTGACTTGGGACCCTTGGGACTCAGGTGTTCACAGCTATGGCCCAGGAATGGCAAACAATAGATAAACCTTTGTGCTGGGCACAGTGGTGCACACCTGTGCTTCCAGAGACTCAGGAGGCTGAGGAAGGAGGATCACAAGTCCGAGGCCAGCCTGGGCAATGTAGGAAGAACTTGTATCAAAGTAAAATAAAAAGGGCTTAGAATGTAGCTCAGAGGTACAGCACCCCAGGATCAGACCCCAGTACTACCAAAATAAAAATAAAATAAAGAGGGCTGGGGATGTAGCTTAGTTGTAGAGTAATCAGGGCCTAGCATATGTAAGGCCTTGAATTCAATCCCCAGTACTGAAAAAAAGCTTAAACTAAATTAATAATAAACCTTGGGGAACAACTGCCTTGGTGTCCGAGAAATAACAGGTTTGGCAATTTTGGACACTTGTCTTCCCTGAGAACTTGTTAATTAAGATCTGAGGCCATGGAGCACATTGTCCTGTGGCCAGACAAAACTCTACCCAGAGTAGACTCCACTATTCAAGGCATATGATACTTGCGAGTATTATTGAAAACCTGGAGCCCCACAATGACACTACTTCCTTGTCCTGGGGCTGCTTGTGGCCTGAGCTCCCTGGCAATCAATGGAAGCTGCTGGCTGTTCACTTTTGTTTTCACCTTGCAATGACAGGAAGAGAAGGGTGGGAAGCTGCACAGTTGTCCCTCCTATCTGTAGGTTCCACATTGCTGGAATCAACCAACCTTGGATGAAAAATATTTGAGAAGGAAACTGTCTGTACTGAACACATACTGACACCCCACCCCCACTTGTCCTTACTGCCTGAACCAAACAGTACTCCTGTTTACATAGCACTTGCATTGCACTAGGCATTATAAGTAGTCCAGATGTGATTGAAACTATACAAGAGGATATATACGGTCATGTACAACACTATACCATTTTATGTAAGGGACTTGAGCATCCACAGATTTTGCTATCTTTCAGGAACCTGGAACCAATCCCCCAATGGACACTGAGGGACAACTACACTGGACTGACCCAACCACATTCGGGTCTCAGGCCCTGAGCACTTTGGAGTGTCCAAGGTCAATTACAGTACTTCCAGCCTTTGAAAACAAACAAACAAACCAAAAGACAAACTAAATGGGATAACTCATTAGAATACCCAAGGCTGTGTTTCCTTGTCTTTTTGAGGTGCTAAGGTAGGGGGAAGCCCAGGGCCTCATACATGCTAAGCAAGTATCCTAAAATTCAGCTACATTTTCAGCTGTTTTTTCATCAGTATATAAACATTGGTTGTAATTTTTTCTTCATTGATCTATGTCTTTTAAAATATGATTGAGTTTTCTTAGATGGGGAATTTAATCCATTTTAGGTAGAGTCAGAACCATGATTTGCTTTCTTCTTCCTAGCCTCTTGTTCTTCACAACTTAACTAGTTAGAATATACTCTGTAATTGGCAGTTCAGATTTTTTAAAAAATGTACTCTTTCTGAAACAGAAACCCTAATAGTAAATCCCTAACAACCCAGTTGTCCCTCAGTAGCCCCAGGAAATTGGTTCCAGACTCCCTCTCCCCATACCAAAATGCTCAAATTCTCAAGCCTTCTATATAAAATGATGTCATATTTGCCTAAAACCTACACTCATTCTCCCCTGCACTTTCAATCATCTCTAGATTACTTACAATACTTAATACAATCTAAATGCTACATAAATAGTAGTTTTACTGTTTTGTTCAGGGAATAATGATAAGGAAAAAAAAAAAGGTCTGTGCATGCTCAGAAGAGAGCCAATTCTGTGTGTGTGTGTGTGTGTGTGTGTGTGTGTGTGTTGGGGCTGAAACCCAGGACTAAGCATGCTCTACTGTCAAGCTACCCCTCAGTCCATTATTTACATATATGAATACACAGGTTTGGAGGGTGGGTGGATGTTTTTACCTTTCTAACTTCTCCTCCTACTTCAATCTGTTTAAATTCTTTGTCCTTTCTCCACCTCCACAATCCCCAAACAGCCCTGAAGGTCAAATCCTAATCCAGAAGGTGGAAACTCAGCACCATAAAAACAAATTGGAGTTTAAAAACACTAGAGTTGTGGGCTGCGTTGGCATTCCTGTAGTCCCAGCTACTCTGGAGGCTGAGACATAAGGCTCCTTTTAGCCCAGGAGTTGGAGGCCAGCCTAGGCAACTAGTAGCTCTTCTCTAAAAATGAATAAAGGTTTAGAGTTGGAACCAGTACCTCTGTAGAAACACTCACCTTAAAAAAAAAAAAAAAA